TGGATCTGAATGAAGTGGTCTTCAAAAATGGCTTTGATATGCTTAAGAAAATGGAGCAATAGAAACATTGAAAGAGGAAAAAGTGTTTAGTAGATAGATGAGGTCTGACCCTCAGACAGAGAAAAACAAAGACAGAAATAGATAAAAATAGAAAGAAATAAAATCCGAAGAAAAAATAGTCTCTTTATATCGAAGAAGAAAAAACAGAGAAAAGATGAAGTGATACATTTCTAGCAGTGAAAAACAGAGTAAGTCTTTGCATCATGTATCATAGACAACAGCTGTAACAGTAATAAATTCTGAAGCTTTCAGTGAATAGAATTATCATTGTTTCTTTTTATTTGTTTTCATTGTGTTCTGTCACCTGACTACATGTTTTATGTGAATTTTTTTTATATGGTTGTAGATGTGCTTACTGAGCACTGAGTATATAGCAAGGTATGTTAAATCTCCTTATAAGGAGGAGCTTTCTTATCATTCTCTAGCATAAGCATAGAAACATTATGAATAAATACGGAAAAGCCTGCTCAGGAGGAGAAGGAAGTCAGAACCCAGCAAAAGAAGGGGAACTGGGGAGATGGACCTCTCTTGTTACAAATAAAAAAATATTTTTTGTATTAGCATCATTTTAAGAACAGAGACCAAGCTATTGTCTGCCTCAGTGATTCGGGCATCTTTTTTTAAAAATCTGATCTCAGTTGTATATAAGTATTTCTGAAGCAGGGACTCTCCTGTTCTGAGCACTTTCCAAGTACCTCATTGAAAATCTCAATCACTAATTGTCTGAAGACCCACTTTCTTGGGTTAGCTGTTTGTGGCAGGTCTTAGAGAGAGCTGCATATCTACCCTGCCCTCTAGATCATACACAGTCATTTTTCATTGTCTAATGGAGCAGAAACTAGTGGTCTGCATTTTTATCTTGTACTACTGATTCACACTGAGACAACAATGGGGCATTTCTCTGAGGTATGCCCTGAGTTAATGCAATGTGGCAATTTGGCTAGGTCTTCTTCCTTTATCCATTTTGTGTTTTTTTAACAATCTGTCCATTTCATAAGGCTGCTGGTCCCATTTTAACTTTAATGAAATGTATAACTGAACAGTTCTGGAAGGCTTGAGTTTGGTCTATAAGTTTCCATTTTCGGAAGTCAGTAAGTAAGCTGGTAGCTTTCCCATAAATGTGAGTAACACTCATTGCAGCACCTGAATTTTATTATGCTTCACTTGCTCAGCTCACACAATGAGAATCATATTAAACTAAAAAGGGCTTGCATTGATTTAATATACAAATGAGCCACCTTTTCTACGGTGAATATAAAATGCAAGTTAAGGCTCACTATTGATGCTACTGTTATGATCCACAACGTTAATATCCATTTTAAAAAGTAAGTGAAATAGAACTTTCATGTCAGGACACAAGTGACTTTCCTTTCCTTTCCCTTCTACATGATGTCATTTTTAAATTTCCCAAACTCTATAACCCTATGGAGATATGCCTAATTATAAGGGCTAAGGGTCTTACTCCTCTATATGATAATACTCATGCTAATTTGCTGGTGCCTCAGAGAAAAAAATGAAAGTCATTTTAAGAAAATTTAGCAATTTTCATACACTTTTTTTGTTCTCCTGAAAATGAAATATTGGGTCTTTCAAAGTTTTGCTCTTCTGTCTTCCTCTCTCACCTGAGGGCATAATCCTCTGCTTTTAATATCACAATTAGAACTGTCATTGTTTCATGAGATGTCAACAGCTCTTTAAAAAGAAACTAAATGTGTATTTATATGATGAAGTATAATATCTTCTTCTATTGTGTAAATACTCTAAGGTACATTTCAGAAACTGTCTGACCTTTAAATCTCAAACTTTACATTGTAAGCACAAAAGGGAAATCCTCATACAAATATCTTGGTATAAATCTACTTTGACAGCAAATCCAGAAAAATGGCCCCATCTTGTTTTGCCTATCTCTTCTAGCTTCTTCCTGGGCCCAGCACAGCATAGGATTATAGAAGTCTAACTAGTCAAAGTAGGGAGAACAAAGAATGGAACTTTAGCACAGTGTCTTTCCCCTGTATTTTCTGTTATTTCCTGTATTCTTGGTGCTAATATTATTCTGTAAATAAAGCACTGGTGAAAGATATCACATTGAAAATGTTGAAACACAAATTATTTTCCTTATTTGCATCACAGTTATTAGCATCAGCAACAACAATGCAAACCGCCTGCCAATGTGCCCAAGAACTAACTTAGCTGCACCGTGTCTAAGGGTTAGCATGTTGTTGTTCCTAACACAGGTCCATTCATTCCTTGGCCTCCCTCCTGAGACTATTAATGCAAGTGTTGACAACTAAAGAGATATCATATAATTACTTCCTGGTGCCTTCTGAAACCAGTAAAGGAGGTAAAACATTCTTTGTCCCATTAAAAATCATGAGATCATACAGATCCAGGTACCATTCAAAAGAAAGTATCCAATTCATTTACTTTCAAAGAAGATATTTTTATCAGGATATTTTCAGGTGCTAAGTAGAATGCCTTGATGTTGTTAGATTCACAGAGATTATTTCGGATGGGTGGAATGAGAAATTTTCTTTCAAAGCTACTCTATGTCTTTATCAGTAAGCTAAAAATGTTGTTAAAATATTTAAAATGATCACTGACATTTACATCCTCTTTAAATATGTAAACATCTCAAGCTTACTTCTTTAAGTCTGTGACTGTCACTCAGTTATTTGTCACAATATTGTCACAATCCTGACTGGCTGAGATATTTCATTTTACAAAATGATAATATTAAAAACATGCTATTCCTTATAGTCTTGATGTGCAGTAAAACCACCCATAGCCACGGGCTTTGCAAGCCATACATGATTAAAAAAGCAAAATGAGACTGTGGTAAATAAGGAAAAGGAGACTTTTTGGAAAAAAAAATCCAACACTAAGATTTTTCTTGGGGATAAGTTAGCCCCTAAAAACACTGCCTCATGGACACATAGGCTGGATCTAGGCATTGCATGTTAAATCATGCATGGTGCTGCTGATTTGCAGAGCCAGGGCAAAATTTGCTACTAGGTTTTCCCAATAGCAAAAAAAAAACCCGGAAGAAAAAAGTGGTGCAAAGCATGTCAAAGTGGCGTACAGTGGGACAAATGCAAAGATGGGGGAGCTGCCTAGGGCTGCCTGCTCCCTTGTCTCTGTGTGCTGTGGACCCCTTGCACTGAGGCACCCTGCACCCCAGCCAACTGCTCCCCGGCCAGCTGGGGCACTGCGTTCCTCAAGACAGGGGAGCAGGCAGCTCCCCTGTCTCCGCATGCCTTAGCATGGGGGCTCCACTGTGCAGCCCCCACGCTGACACACGTGGAGATGGGGGAACAGGACTAGGGCTGCCTGGTCCCTATCTCCAGGCACATCGTGCCCCAGCCAGCCAGGGAGTAACTGACAGGGGCACAGGGTGCCTCAATGTGGGGGCTCTGCAGCATGTGAAAAGGAGGGAGCAAGCAGCCTGGGGCCACTCCCCAGCTTGCTGGGGCCAGGGTGCCTCAGCATAGGGGCTGCCTGCCAGCTAGCCTTTCACTGAGGCACCCTGTTCCCTAGCCAGGCCTCCCTGCAGCACATGGAGCAGCAGGACAACGTAAAGCGCACAGGCAGGGGCATGCACTGCGGCACAAAGTAGCAGTACAAATTTCATAGTTTCATAGTTTGTAGGGTTGGAAGGGACCTTGACAGATCATCAAGTCTGGCCCCCTGCCATAGCAGGAAAGAGCACTGGTGTTCATCCAGCCTCCTCTTAAAGACCCCCAGGGTAGGAGCCAGCACCACTTCTCTTGGAAGTTGGTTCCAGATCCTAGCCACCCTGACCATGAAGTAGCACCTCCTGATGTCAAGCCTGAATCTACCCTCTGCCAGCTTGTGACCCTTATTTCTTGTCATTCCTGGTAGTGCTCGGGGGAACAGGCACTCCCCCAATGCCTGCTGGTCCCCTCTGACTAGTCTGTAAACGGCCACTAGATCCCCCCTCAGCCTTTTCTTGTGGAGGCTGAACAGGTTCAGGTCCCAGAGCCTCTCCTCGTAGGGCCTGCCCTGCTGCTCCCTGATCATGTGAGTGGCCCTCCTCTGAACCCTCTCAATGCTGTCCACATCCCTCCTGAAGTGCGGTGCCCAGAACTGGACACATGTCTCCAACTGCGGCCTCACCAGTGCTGCATAGAGGGGGAGGATCACCTCCTTGGACCTGCTTGAGCTGCATCTGTGGATGCATGACAAGGTGTGGTTGGCCTTCCTGACCGCATCCCCACACTGTCGGCCCATGTTTATTTTGGCATCAATAATGACTCCAAGATCCTTTTCTGCCTCTGCACTGACGAGAAGGGAGTTCCCCAGCCTGTAGGTCTGCTGCTGGTTCTTCCTCTCAGCACTCCTATTTGTGCCACTACTATCTGTGTTATTGCAAACACATGCCCCTGCTCATGTAGATGTGGCCATGGTGAAAGGAAAATGGTGGAAAAATTCTTTGTGTACACTGTTTTCTAGTTCAGCTTGAATAGTGAAGAAAATTAAATACCTATAATATTCTGTATGCATTAAGAGCTGCTACAGTAATCACTCAGTGAAACATAACTTAAAGTGAGACTAACTAGAAATATGTATAGCAACTGCCTAATATGAATAGTAATGTTAGTCTGACTTGCATTCTTTGGCTAAATACATTCCTATCCTGACACTTTTTTGAAGGGCTCTTCTGAAGGGTATATTGAGTGTTGTGAAGAAATGTTGTTATAATGAAGATAAATATGATGGAGGCTTAGCAATATTACAAACCTCATACTGGAAAGATTGTACTTATGTTTCTTTAATGAGGATGAAGAATATGCAAACAAGCAATAGTTAATTCCTTTGTCTATTCACATAGGTAGGGTGAAGCAAAAATGAACATAATATCCACAAATGACATAAGGCTGGATAAAACTGAGGATGCCAATATTTCATAGAACAAAGCTTACTTTGTATCCTGATGATTTGATGTGCACTCCTCGCTTGGTCAGTGTAGATTTCATTCGGATGAAAAAAGAGCGCTCTAGGTTGTTGTCAGTGGTTAGTAGATTGGGGCTTGTTGATTCCACTAGGGAATAGAGGGGAAAAAAAAACATATACAGATTATTTAGATTTTATACATCCCCTCTCAGATATTTCTCAGGTGCGATCCTTGAACTTACTAAAAATAAATGACTGATGGATGCTAAGAGTGCTGTAATCAATTTACCTTGTTTAGAAAATGTTTACTTAGCAAAAAAGATGGAAAAAAATATGTGTACATAGTAACTCTCATTTAAATAAAAAATTTAATACAGAGATGCCTCATTAACTCTTTCCTACACATTTCTATCATAGCTATTTCTTCGCAGACACTGAAGTTCCTTCTTGTTATGCAACCGGATAAATATTATTTAGGAGACAAGGCTGCCTACTAAAAGTGATCTGCAAGTTCTATTTCAGAATCCTATTCCCCAGTCTCCTCACCTTGCTTGCTGAGATACCTAAGGCAAGGCATCTCAGCTTTTGGTGTCTTAGTTTTCTCATTAGTTAAGGTTAATTAATGTCCATAAAATACTTTGCAACCCTCAGATGGAAAGCACTGGGGTTATTATTATTAATAATAATAATTAATATTAGTGACTAATTATAGTGGAATGTCTTCATGGTCCATTTAGCTTCAAGTGAACTTTCTTCTTTGAAACTACAGATCTAACATACGTGTTCAATTCCCTAAACCCCAACATGTATAGTAAATAAGAAAATCTGGTGGGAGTTAAGTATGATTAAATAACATACATATTGCTGGGTGACATCATATTATCATATTCCACAGGCAGTATTTCAATAGTTATATTTTCAACCCAAATGCTAACATGTTCTCTGTTTTCAAAAATATAATTCATGGGAACATTCTTGAGCAATCCTACAATAACAAGCTGCTGCTGGCAATTAAACATATTGTAGTTCCATGAAAAAAAATTATAAACAACAACAACAACAAAAAAGGGATTTTTAAAGATCACATTGCTGTCTTTTTAGAGACTGTAACCAGTTACTGGTCAAAACTATTCCAAGTAGAAAAGCATTTGATATTCAGCCACTCGTATATGCACCACTTGTTTTTGAGCTAAGGATTATTTGGAGTTGTCCTTGTTCTAATGTGGTCACATTGTCTTGTATTTATGGCATTTTAACTCCGTGTGATGAAACCAGTGACAAGAATGCCCCTTTCTTTAGTGTCTCATACGGTTTTTTGTTTTAGAGAGCATGAATTCGATGTCATTTTAAATGTACAGCTCTTTATCACTCGAGGGAAAAGCAGAGCCATGTTATATTTAGTACTTTCATTTCTTCTGATTAAATATGAATTACTATGAAATTTTTCTCATCATCTAACATGCCATAATACGCCAACAGCTTTTTAATACACTATATAAGCACAAACTTCTGCTCTAAGAGTTTAATTTGCCCCTCTAATCCAATCACATCAACCTTATTTCTCTTATCAGAGATTCCCATTTTGAATTAAATGAGCTCATTAGTTTTAATCAAAAGCAGAGAGATCAAAACTTAAACGTAAATGCTTTAGATCAGAACTGTCAGTCAGCCGTGCAGTTCTATTTTACTAAAACACAAGATCAGAGACCCTTAGAACCAATTTTTTCTCGTAAGGGATGCCGAGAGCTTGAAGATGCTATATCCTTTTTTTTTCCCAAGGACAGATTATACATTTAAGGTTAGACTTAATTTAGAGCATTTTTTTTCATCCTGGTGGAAATGGAAAAGTATGCCAATCTGCTGTTGTCTCTTTCACATTTATTGGTGCTGGTCCTTGGAGACCTGAACAAACGTGAAGCCATCAGAATCCATGCCACAAACCTGGCCTCAAAAAATTCAGCTCTGTTCAGCAATATCATGTTTGTAACATCTAAGAAATTACACTTTCAAAGAAAGGAAATGTGCTTCAGGGTCAAGGTTACTGGAACCCTGAAACAGCAATGCAGGGTCACCAGGTTACCAGAAGCACTGGTGATGTGTGGATCATTATTAATTATTACTATTATTATACAGTACTCTACAGTACAGTGCTTAAAGAGTACATTAAGAAACCACAGCATGGGTGCTTCCTGCTGTGTGAAGAAATGCTAGAATCAGCTTAACAAATGTACTAGTTGTAGTCCGGCACATTATGCCCTAACATAGGCAATAAGTACTATATGCCCCCATGTGTTGTAATGGTAATTACCAAAACACACAGAAGTAATGTTAATTAAACATACAACATTAAATTTGAATAACATTTAGGTGGTGGAATGCTCTTGCCACACCTGAGAAGAAAAAAAGATGAGACTGACATTTTAACCTTTATTTCCACTTTTGTGAAGGAAAGCAACACAACCGAGATTTAGTAGTGTACTGGGTATTGAATACTTCCTGGCTTCTTGTTAGCTTGTATATCAAGCTTGCCATAATTTTGCTTTTAATCTGATATCTATAAAAACTATATATCTTTCAGTGAGGATCATAAAATGCATATAATTTATGCAGCAGACTGGAACAGCATCTATCACATAAATATGCATTTAGACATGTTTGATTTTCTTAAAAGTGTCTGAAGAGTGTATATGAGGGGTGGGATTAGTTACCTAAAAGTCCAAGGCAGTTTAAGAACATCTTTCTAAGTGTCTCTCCAGAGAAAACTGTTATGGTAGATGAAACAGAGATGCATTTGGGCTTGCAGCAACCACAGTAAGGGACTGTAACAATGCTAATTATTATGATTCATGCAGTATTTTAAAGGTAGGATAGCCACAGTATGTGCTCATTGATGTCAGTAAAATCTACACTGAATACAGCCCATTGCAAGACCTCTGCATTTGATTTTAAATGCTAATCTCTTAGACATTTAAGGTGTTTTCCATTTATACCACTGGAGACTAGCAATCAGATTGACATCAGAATGAAACTTCGCAACACTTATTTTTTTAAGAGATTTTTTAAAAGCTTCAGAAAACTCAGATACTAGTAAAGTGCATTTTGTTTGATACCCTAGTAGCTGAAATGCCCTTTTACATTAAAAAAAATGTTGCTGCTGGACTAAATCTACCAGGTTCTAATCTTACACAAGCTATTTCTCGGAATTATAAACCTTTGAAATGGAATATATAGAATGCATACACTTCATGTTGATGGAACTAGTAAAAGGCACTCAATGTTATACACTGTCTTTGCAAAAACAGGTAACTGTAAGAGTAGCTATACTTGTGTGTCCTGTGCTGTCTTCAATGGACAGCATTCAAAGAAATTCTTAAGACTCTTGGAATTGCTATGGGAGTCCACTACAGTTCTGAGAGCACAAGCAATAGGTTACCTGTTTCTAAGGGTATCCAAATGTAGCCAAATACCAAATGTGGTATATCTGGGTTGAAGTGTTACCAGAGTCTTAAATGTCATCTGAAAACCACAGAACCAAAAAAAAAAAAAGTAGGAACTAATACTCCAGTCCTGTGAAAGGCTCCAAGCATATGGATTCCAGGTCCAGTACAAAGCTCTGTAATCATTCTGCATCATGTTAAGAACTATTTATTTGCTCCAGGTCCTGCAAAAAGTCATGCATGAGTTCAATCTGTTAACTACAATGGGACTATTCACATGTGTATAGATAAGCATGTATATGTTCATAGGTTCTGATTCTGCAGTGAGCTCCACATGGATAGAGTCCTGCGTGGATCCCCACTAATCCCTGTAAAATGTAATGCACAGCAGCGTAAATCATACCTATCTCACAACAATAACAGAAACACCAAATCCATGTCTGAGGCAGAAAAACATACATATTCAGATAAATAACTTGTCCCCAGGATGGAAGCAAGCCGCAAATTTCATTTATGTCTTAAAGCCAAGATAAAGAAGAAAATTCTGCCAAAGCTACTTAAATGAATCTTTAACCACTCATGCCTTTTTGTCATCTGTATTAAAAAAATTGGGACAAGAGAAGAAAGAGAGAGAATTTTACCATGTTAACATGTGAAAAGGTTTTTTGTGATCATTCTTATAGAGGACCAGAAATGTTAGAGGGGTATGTGAAAAGCTGCAAAACAAATAAATCTGATGATGTCAATGGGATCTACAGGATAAATACCTGGGTTGTAACTTAAAGGAACTCTCGGCCTTGGCATCATTGCAATAACTTTTCATCAGCTGTTTATTTTCTACTTGCATAAGAAGCCTTTAGATAAAGTGAACAAAGAACAAAAACCTGTTTAAGCAATGTGAAGAAAAGCCCAAATAAGAAGGAAAATTCACATTAACAGAAAAGGGGCTGGTACCTTGCCTTGTGTTGGATACTTATAAATATCTCCTCAAGTTTTCTCAAAATCTAATAACAGCTTGCACATATGACTGAGAATCATCAGATTCAGTTGTGTAACTGTACAACACAGATCTATCATTTCTGCTTGGTCTGGATGTTTCTGTTCCTCTCCCCCATTGCTGATGCAACAGCAGGCCAGCATGGCCCCTGATGCAGAGCGGGAGGGACAGGGGTTATTTCCTCCCTCTACCCTCGGGGGACCGCAGCCTGGTCTGCCTGCTCCAATTGCTGCTGCCGCTTACTTCCTGCTTCGGGCAAGTGGCAAAATAAGCCCCCTCCCCCAGACAGGAGAATAACCCCAGTCCCTTTCCCCCCAAGGGGCCCTGGCAGCAGCATCTGGCCACACCCCTGCCTGGCCGCTGCAGTGGTGAGGGGCAGTGCTCTTGATGGTGGCAGCAGCTCCTGTCATAAGGTTGGGGAGCGTAAGCCCCGTCCTGGTGGGACGGGCCCATTGCAGTGGGGGCAGAGCTGTGGCGGACTGTGCATGACAGCACTGGGGCTTGGAGGGGGCCAGAGCCCCAGCCCCCTGCCGCACTCCACAGCAGCTTTCCTTGCACCGCAATGCAGCCCACCGCCAGGAAGAGGCTCATGCTCGGGGAAACCATGACAGGGGTTGCTGCTTCCCCTGTCACAGCTGCTCCCTACTCACCGCTCCAGTGGCTGGGTAGAGGTGGGGCCACACACCACTGCCATGGCACCCTGGGGCAGGGGAG